ACCCAGACCCATACCACATCCAGTGGTTCAAGAAAGGATGTGAGGTACGAGTTCTTACTCGATGTTTAGTCTCTTTTTCCATTGGTGCTAATTATAAAGATAAAGTGTGGTGTGATGTAGTACCTATGGATGCATGCCACATATTACTTGGTAGACCATAGCTTTATGATCATGATATGGTGCATAAAACTAGGCCAAACACTTATTCTTTTGTTAAGGATGGTATTAATATAATACTTCACGTTATGAAACAACTTCTTACACCCAAATCCACTAAATAGGAGGGTTCAAAGTTGCTTAATGTTCAAAAATTGAAAGGGGACAGCAAGGATATAGATGTGATTTATTTATTGGTTGCAAAAAAAAATTCTGCACCGACTGCAATTCTTGGGTCTCTTGAACCTCTACTTGATAAGTATAAAGATTTGATACTTGAAGAATTACCAGATGGTCTTCCTCCAATGAGAAATATTCAGCATCATATTGACTTGGTGCCCGGATCTAGCCTACCAAATTTGGCCCATTACCGAATGAGCCCCATGGAACATGAGGAGTTGTACAGACAAGTTGTTGCGTTGCTTAAGAAAGGATTGCTTCGAGAAAGCATGTCACCATGTGTCGTTCCTCCATTACTGACTCCAAAAAAATATGGGTCACGGAGGATGTGTGTAGACAATCAGGCAATCAACAAAATCACATTCAAGTGCTGATTTCTCATACCTAGGCTCGATGATATGTTAGATATGCTTAATGGAACCAAGGTTTTCTCAAAGATTGATTTAAGGAGTGCGTACCATCAAATTCGGATTCGACCTGAAGATAAATGGAAAACTGCATTCAAAACTAGAGATGGACTATATGAGTGGCTTGTGATGCCATTCGGCCTTTTTAATGCACCAAGTACATTCATGCGCCTAATGACTGAGGACTTCGTCCTTTTATTGGTAAATTTGTTGTGGTTTATTTTGATGATATCTTGGTTTTTAGCGTTAACCCACATGATCATCTTAACCACTTGGAACAAGTTTTTGATGTGCTAAGAAAAAAACCACTTATTGTGAATTTGAAAAAATGCTCATTTATGATAAACAATATTGTCTTTTTGGGGTATGTTGTTTCATCTGAGGGAATTAAGGTGGATCAAGAAAAAATAAAAGCCATAGCTGAGTGGCCGGTGCCAAAGTCACTCACTAAGGTGCGTTCTTTTCATGGCCTAGCGACCTTTTATCATCGATTTATCAAAAATTTCAGCACTCTAATAGCACCAGTGACTGATTGTATGAGGGCTGAAAATTTTTCATGAAATCCTACTACTGAAAAGAGTTTCTCTCTAATTAAACAAAAGATGATGCAAGCATCAGTACTTGCCTTACCAGATTTTTCTAAGGTGTTTGAGATTGAAACTGATGCATCAAATATTGGCATAAGGGCAGTTCTAAGTCAAGAGGGACAACCGTTGGCCTTCTTTAGTGAGAAATTGTATGATGCACGTAATAAGTATTCGGTTTATGACCTCGAGTTTTATGCAGTGGTGCAAGCTTTACGCTACTAGAGGCACTACCTGATTCATAGAGAGTTTGTTCTATACTCAGATCATGAAGCACTCTGATATTTGAGTTCTCAGAAAAAGTTGAATGCGCGACGTGCTAAGTGGATGGCCTTTCTTTAAGAATACATCTTCCTATTAAAGCACAAGGTTGGAACCCAAAATAAAGCACCTGATGCTTTAAGTAGAAGGGTAGTATTGCTTAGAACTTTGTCTATAGAAGTGTTAGGGTTAAAAGATCAATATAAAGTTGATCCAATTTTCAACAAGGTCTTTGAAAGGTGTGTTGATGCGCGAGATCCTATGGGTGAGTATCTCGTACATGATGGTTGTTTATTTAAAGGTGTGTGATTATGTATACCTGATTGCTCCCTAAGGGAGAAGATAATCATGGAGCTTCAAGGAGGGGGCTTGGGTGGACACTTTGGGAATGACAAAACTATGACTATGATTGAAGAAAAAAAAATTTAGCCACGTATACAACGAGATGTTTATCGATTTGTGACCCGATGTTGAACTTGCCAAGTATCTAAAGGTCACACACAAAATACAGGTCTTTATACTCCTCTTCCTGTTTCAGATGCCCCATGGGTTGATATTTCTATGGATTTTGTACTTAGACTTCGACGTACCACACGAGGTATGGACTCTATTTTTGTTGTTGTTGATCAATTTTCCAAAATAGCACATTTTATTCCTTGTAGAAGAACTATGGATGCTACACATATCTCGAATCTTTCTTTCAAAGATATTGTAAGGCTACGTGATGTTCCTAAGTCTATTACATCTGATCGGGATACAAAATTTTTAAGTCATTTTTAGCGCACGTTATGGAAGCTCATGGGAACCAAACTTCAATTTTTTAGGGCCTATCATCCTCAAACAGATGGGCAAACCGAAGTAGTGAATAGAAGCCTTGGTAACCTCTTGAGGAGTATTGTTCGTGATAACATATCTCTGTGGGACCTCGTTTTGCCTTAGGTTGAGTTTGCTTACAACAGTTCAATAAATCGATCTATAGAAAAATCACCATTTGAGATTGTTAATGGGCGGATGCCTAATCATGTATTGGACCTAGTGTCATTACCCATGCTAGGCAGGATAAGTGATGATGTCAATGCTTTTGCTATGCATATTCGAGATTTGCAAGCCCAAATCAAGAAGAAAATTGAGGAGAGCAATGCAAAGTATCAAAAAGCCTCAAATGAGCATAGAAGGGAGAAGATTTTCAAGGAGGGTGACTTAGTAATGGTGTATTTGCGAAAGGAAAGTTTTCATTGGAAACCTATAATAAACTCAAGTCCAAGAAAGTAGGTCCTTGCTGCATCTTGAAGCAATATGGGAACAATGCCTATAAGGTAGAATTACCAAAGGCATTGGATATCTCCCCAATATTTAATGTTGCTGACTGATTTGAGTTTCAAGAGACCCTCTAGAAGTCACAGAAGATGTAGTTGATATGATGAAGAAATTACCACGGAAGAAAAATGATAAAATTGAGCAAGTTTTGAAGACTGAAAGCTTTCAAACTCGAAAGGGGTTCCTATTGCCAATTTCTAGTCAAATGAAAGGGCAGGCCATACTCTGATAGCACGTGGATTCTGAGCTAGAGTTCAAAAGAGTAGATCCAAACTTATATCGCATATATACTGAAACCAACTTGCCGGAGTCGAGTTCCTTTCAACTGGGAGATAATGATGCAGCCATGCCCCTTCGTGACTGGGCCAAAGAGGGAAAGAAAAGGCAATGCCGTAATAAGGGGACATTATTATGATTATTTTAATTATTCTTTATTTAAGGAGTGCGCAAGGATAATTAGCGGGGCGACTTTAGAGTTTATATTGTGTTTATCTTGTATCGATTAGGTTAGTTTGGGGGATATAATTAGGATAAGGGTAAATTTAGAAGATAGTTTATCTTTATCAACATTAACCAACTTGGGAGGTCTTTTTGGGGTAAAACATGAGAGGGGAAACGTGGCTATCTAGAAGCCCGTGAATATGAGAGAGAAATAGGGATAGGTGTAGAGAGAAGCTTTTTATTAGTTATCTTATTTTAGTCTATTTAAAAGGACATCTCTTTTCATTGTAAATCAGTCTATAAATTGAATAAAAATTAGTCTCTTAAAAGAGATTGCTTTGAGAGTGGATTCCCTTGCAAACCTTGAAAGAGGGTATTTTTCTTTTAACCTTCCTTCTTTTTATTATCAATTTTTTGGTTTTATTCTCTCCCTGCATCACAACTTGCTGAATAATTGGGGATGTTGTTGATCCAAAGCTCACTAAGGGATAATATTAGTGAACTGCATTGATGCAGACTAGTTCCTTTGGTTTGAATTTGAATTTTAATGAACACAGTTGTTGTTTATTAAGCAATTACTGGGAACTATGTCTTAGATTGCAACCATCTTGGAAATCCAATGATATGATTTGAATTTGACTTTTAAAGCTTTTAATGGGTTATCGAATTCCTGTGTACATGCTGGTTATTGTTGGGGAATCTCTCTCTCCTTCTCCCTCTCCCTCTCCCCCTCTCTCTCTCTTTCTCTCCCTTGTTCCTCATTTTTTGACGAGATGCTCTGTCTTTGTACAGTTCTTACTTCTAACTTATCTGCCGCAATGGTTTTGATTGCCTGCTTCTCTCCCTATCAGATTGTGTCTTTATGTGTTTTCCATTATTTTCAATTTTTATTTGATGAGTCCCATGTTTCTACTCTCAATATCTTTTCTATGGTATGGCCTACTTGGATCCATTACAAGTCTCTCTCTCTCTAGAAAAACTTTATAATTTTAAATGTCTCACTTGGACATACACTGGAAAATAAGATTTAATAATCACACTATTGGAAATAGTTAATTCTTTGGAATAAAAATAATTAATAAAAAATTCAAAATTTCCAAGATAGAGATATTCTTTGCAATCAACCAGGAAATTTGCATTTCCTTGATTACTACTAGATCCATAATATTCACTTAAATTAAAAACTATAGACGTTCACCATTTTCGCAACATTGTATCATCAATTTTTAATGTTTAATCTGTTGTACTATAACTAAAGTGGTCACATTGTCACGCACACACATAAGCACCCAAGGCGGAAAAAAAAATGAAATACAAAAAGATTGGATAATGACTTAGCATGAAAATTAAGGAGTATCTAATTTGCACCTCCAACTCAATGTCATGCACTCCAATCAAGTGATACTCCTACGTTTGTTCACAACTAAGCAAACCAATCCAGCATTTGCAATGTAAGGGTATAAAATCCTGATCCCAAAATAGGTCTCCTCATAATCCAAAAAATCATAAAACTAAACAAAGGAAATTTGCCACAAAAATGACTGAAATACTAAGTGGAATATGGATGCATATCTACAAGCATAGGGTTAAGCCTATAGACATGTCGATCATTGTATTTAAACTCAGCTCAAAATTCTAGCATGTTGCCCCATACTTTGTCAATCAGTGGTTCATATTAATCAGGTTCAAGCGAACGCCTAAGATCATAATGATCGCTTCTATCGAATATTTACATTAGTATAAAGGCAACTTCAAAAACTAATCACATGTTTCGAATAAGGACTACAAAAATAGAAAAGATTAGTACAAGTAAACACATAATCATTATACATAAGAAAATCATAAGTTGTCGCAAATACTTATAATACTTCTTGCACACTCATAATATTTCCTGTTCGGGTTACTTGAGCTTGACGATGCTCTCGTAGCACAATCTATACCACACATAAGGCATTGTCGAGGTGGATATCCTCGATAACTTGTAGAATCAATTGAAATTGTAAGGGCCTAAAATAATCACATCAGAACCACATTGTCAAGGACTAATTCAATATGTATTCAAGCGCATTATAACATTGAGAGTAAATATGTCAATGAATAAACTAGATTGAAAATGCAAAGCTCATGAAAAATTACAAATGCAAAGCATAAAATGAATTTATTGATTCACTATGTATATAGCATTGTGTTAAATCCATTGTAGCTCAAACTAGAGGGTCTATTTATAATAACACATGTATTAGATATGAGCCTATGTAACTTCTAAGCAACATGGTGTGGATTAAGTAATTCAGTTTTTGAGTTCTATTTAGCATATAGTCATGTCTCTTGAAGATATGAGCTTATGCAACTTCTAAAGAAAATGGTGTGGATTAAGTAATTCAATATTTGAGTCCTATATAGCATCTCGTCATGTCTCTGGAAGAACATAAGACAGAACTCAGATCCTAGTACAAAAGATATCTTGGATACATTACAATTGGAACATACAGAACTCAGATCCTAGTACAAAAGATATCTTGGATACATTACAATTGGAACATAAAATGTCTATCAGTAAAACTATCATATACAAGTTATGGCATATATAAGAACATAGCAAGATCAATTAGAGAAATCAGCTGCAACGTCTATCAGTCACATTCCACTACATAAGTGCCAATGATTTAAAGCATGTGAAGTCTCTAATTTTAGAGCAAATGATGTGGTGATTGGGTCATAATAAGTCTAAAAACATCTGCATTATCAGTTCTATTCTATTTAATTAAAAGCAAAAAAAGTGGAAAATAACTCACTGGAATCAAAGTATTGCATTATAGAACAAGGCCCCCCATACATGCAAAAGAATTAAACCAGTAAACAAGTGGAACTATGGAAATCCAAATACAGCAAAGGGAATAAACCCTTCAAGAATCAAGGTTTGCTGAACAGTGCCTCCACACTAGCTAATGATTCAATAGTTAACTACACAAAATAACCATTTTTTACGGAATCCATACCACGTTCTTGAGCTCCTAAATTCAGTAGTTAACTATCCAAAATAAACAAAAGAAAGACATTAAGCTTTCACACAAACAGAATATGGCTTCCCTATTCTAGTAAACCATCCAAAAGAACCATTTTGAACTTTGGTTACCATGCAATTGTTTCTCTGTCTTCCTCAAAATGCAGAAATGTTTTATTAAATTTGTTTTATATTTCAAACAAAAGGAATGTTTTGGTGTTTTGAGTAACCAGTAATGCCTAAAACTATGGTACATATCTGAAATAATTCCTTACCTTCAATCTGGTTGTGGAGAGAGGGAGGACACGGCTTCCTGGTTGTAGAGAGAGCAACTCTGAGCTAAGAGGGCGAGGCTGATGGTTGTAGAGAGAGAGAGAGTGTGTGTGATCGGAGAGAGAAAGGGTGAGAACTGTTGGGCCTCCTAGTTGTAGAGAGAGCGACTCTGAGCAGAGAGAGAGTGGTTGATGGTTGTAAAGAGAGAGAGAGGGTGAGATCGGAGAGAGACAGAGAGAGTGAAATCTGTTGGGCTTCCTGATAGTAGAGAGTGACTCTGAGCTGAGAGGGTGAGGCCAATGGTTGTAGAGACAGAGGGTGAGATGGGAGATAAAGCGATGTTGAGATCTGCTAAGAGAGAAGGTGAGCTGAGAGAGAGGGTAAGATGGGCGAGAGAATGGGAGAGATGGATAGAGCAACCTGGTTTTAGAGAGCAAGAGGGGTGCACGGCCTGTAGGGAGACGATTTAAATAGACCAAAATACCTCTAAAATATTTTAGGGTATTTTGGTTAATTTAAATATTATGAATAATTTTTTAATATTTTATTAAGTGCACATTGATGAGACGATTGGATACTCCAAATTTCATGTACTTTGGATTTGTAAAAAAATTAAAATTCAAATATAAAATGTAGTCATGTCCGCCCATATAAAATATTAAAAAATTGATCATCAGCTAGTGATCTTTCCCTATATATATATATATATATATGAACAGTGTGAGCCCAATGATGTCGATTGAATCTGAACCGATCTAATGAACACGACTGCATTTTGCATTTTAATTTCAATTTTTTCTACAAATCCAAATCACTTAAAATTTAGAGCATCTTTTTGTTAAAAATTATGTGAATCCAATAAAAATATTAAAAAATTATTTATAAAATTTAAATAGACCGAAATACTTCTAAAATATTTCAGGGGTATTTCGGTTAATTTAAATATTACGAATAATTTTTAAATATTTTATTAGGTGTGCATGATGAAAAGATTGGATACTCCAAATTTCATGTAATTTGGATTTATAAAAAAATTAAAATTAAAATACGAAATACAGTCATGTCCACCCATATAAAATATTAAAAAATTTATCATCAGCTAGTGGGCTTTATATATATATATATATATATATATATATATATATCGAGAGAGAGAGAAGTGATCCAATGCAACAGTTTATCATACTATAATGAAACGATGTGTTGGCATAAAGTTATCCATTAAATTAAAGGGAAATCATCGTTAATATACTTTAATTTTAATAAAATCCCTCAAACTTCTCAAAACTTCGCCCACACCCTTTTTCCCAATTTTCAACATTTTTTGGATAAAAATACCCTTTGCGGTATTCTTTCTATCGTAATGCATTGTGACCATTACGGTAATTAAAATACCGTTGTAAATAGAGATAGAATTACAATACTTCTAGTACTGTAATAACATAAACATCTATTATGGTACTTTAATTACCGTAATGACGTAGAGTATTACGGCAATACTTTAAAAGCTTCAAATCAAAGCTAATATCAGGGCTACCCTTTTTGAAAAATCTATGTTCCCATGGGAGCACGATGTGGATCTACTCCCTCACTGAAAAATACCTATTTAAGAGTGTTTGCGTTCTAAAATTTTGAGAACCATATAAAAATTAAGTAGAGATTATATCCTAAAAATTTAAGATTTTAAAATTTACAACTAGCCCGGATTTTTGTCGAGGGAGTAAATAAATAGTAGGCTCGATAGTGTAAAAAATCTTCGTGTTGAGTTGCGTAATATTACGATACTTACCGTAATACTACTTTAAAGTATTAAATTATTTTAATTACCATAATACTCTATGTCAATGGTTTAAAAAACGGATCAGTGACCCGGATCGGGCTTCCAAAAAACCTATTCGGATCGGCGAATCGACGATCCGGATCGGGAATCGGGTGAATCGGTCAAAATAAAGCTTAAAAAAAATCCGAAAAAATTATTAAAATTCATTATAAATATTGTTTTTTAGGAATTCAATAAGAAATGAGGGTATTCCATTAAGAATTTTCATGTTTTTGAATGAATATGCGAATATTGATATGTTATTTCCCAGCATGAACCACCATTCAGCATTTAATTTACATCACACAAAAGGATAAACATATAATTATCATGGAATAAGTATATCTACATACATGGACTACAATAAAGCATAAAATTAGTAACATATAATCTAAAAATAAAATGATAGGCGACGTTATTGTTCTTCTTGGTCACGCTGGTGCCATAGATTGAATTCGTTTAACAATTCATTGATTCGATCTAAAAACGAATCACCGATATTAGC